ATTAATGAATTATTGAGAGCCATGTCTACTTCCATCCATTACATAATACATGTCTATCATGGGACCTGTTTTCTGAACAAGAAACAGCTTAAATGACACTAACTGATAAGTAGAGTCAGTGAATATTGTAATCTAACAGGGGGCAGGAATCCAGAAAACAAGATTCTGATTTACAGTGCTAAGTTGTGAAAAAGTGATGTGAAGAACATGGAACACTGCTTATTCTTAGTAATATTTCCATACAAAGTGAGACACATGCCCCGAAAATGTTTTTAAAGCACTTGACTCCAAGAACATTTCTCTGAAATTCAGGGGCCTACCAAAAAAAAAGTTCCATTTCATTTTAAAGTGTTTTAATAAAGACCGCAAGAAGCATAACTGCAAATGAGAAATAAAATTTCAACAATTTAGCACTGAACACAAAATGTCTAAAAGTCAAGGTGTACTGAGCAACACGCTGTAAAAGACGGTTGTACTTTAAAACATTTCAGCATTTTTTCATATAATTAGCTCCAACAGAACTGTTTAAATTGTTCACTTTATCCACCCAAAGTAGTCAACCACAACCACCTGCAACTATTATTCAGAAACGTGCCTTCCAAAGCAACCACCTGATCTGGGGCCTTCTCTCAAGGGGCCAGGATAAAGCCTGTAAAAGGGTGGTATAAAGAGATCTTTTAGGCATAGGGGGATAAAAAACCTGGAAGACACCACCTTGAAGGAGCTAAGAGTAATGCGACCCAAATGGTGGCTGCCAGAACGAAGTTGTCTAAACCCAAGATCTCCCTCTTCTTGGGTGTAAAACTTTCAGATCCATCCACACTCGGTTTACCTGAGCCAAAGCACCTTCCCTCTCCGAGCCCCCATCCACCCCGCCAGAAGGAAAAGAATCGAACTCTTAAGTAGAAACGTGACAGATCCAGTGCAATAAAACAGGTTCTCCGACTGCCTCAAAGGTAACATGCACGGCCCAACGTCCTTTTGAAATACAACACTTCATCTTTTATCTCACCATTTCATCAAAAAGAAAAGAATCATCTCCAGCATTTTACATCACTCACCTAACCCACAGATCCACCCTGACCGCACCCCAACCTCATGGCTCCCCAATTTCTCCGTCTGCCCACTACCTGGTCCGCAGCTTCACTAGTCCTAAGCCTCCCCGCCTCCGCTCCCCAAGTGCCCAGAGCCCCAGACCCCAGTCCCCGACCTCCCGCCCCAGGATCCCCACATCCACCGCCTCGGCTCCCGCCCAATCCCGGAGCCCGGCTGGGTGGAGCCCGCGGGTGGGCGCCGTGGTCTGGGTGGGGCCCGACCCTCCCCACCCGAGGGCTGGCCGGGAGGGGGAGGGGGTCGCGAAGCCTCACCTACAGCTCCGCCCCTCCCCGGGGGCGCGTCGCCCAGCCCAGCCCGGGCCGTGAGCAAGAAGCTGGGCAGGAAAGGCGAAAGCCTCAGCGCTAGCGACACGGGGGAAGCTCTGGGTCCCGCGCGACTTCCGCGCTGCCGCCGCCGTCGCGCCCGTCTCACCCTTCTCAGGGCTGCCGCTGCTGCTGCTGCCGCCGCCGCCGCCGCCGCCACTACCGCCGCCACCGCCACTACCGCCGCCACCGCCGCCGCCACAGCACGGCCCGGGCGCCCGCGACGTCACCGCGCCCCGCCCCCTGCGCGAGACACCTAGCCCCGCCCCCAGCCCCGCCGCGGGCGCAGCGCGCCTCCCCGGGCTCCCGGCCCGGCTGCCTCCCTTTCCCTCAGCCTCCCGGGAGCGTGACGCGGCGGCCGAGGGGCCTCCGGGCGCCTTCCGGGGCACGCGGGTGAAGAACTGGGAAGCGGGGGAAATTCGGCGCCGCTGGTCGATCAGCACCGAAACACAGCGAGGGGCGCGGAGCGGCCCTGCGTACACACACGCGTACCCACTCACACACACGACCCCTGCGGCCCGGGAGGGGAGAGCCGGGGTCGGCTCCGCGAGCGCGGGGCGGCGCTTGTCTCTTCCCGCTTGCCGTAGGAAGTGGACGCTGGAAGCCCGAGGAGCCGCGTCGCGTCTTCCCGAAGCTAAGTGGCGCCCCGCCCCCTTCTTCCCGTGGCCCGTTACCCGCGCCCGGCGCTGCCCAGCGCCGCGGGACCAGCGCGGGGACCGACCCTGGCTGCTTGGGGCACGCTTTGTTCCACCAGAGCTGGTTTTTTGCCCCTTAGCTTCGCGGAACGTGGCCGCGAAATGAGCGGTCATCTGACCTGAGACTCGCGGGGCTGCGCACACGGGCATCGCCGAGGACCCCAGCAATGGACGTCGTGTTCTGTGGTGATCCGGCCCGGAGCGGGGAGCGTGGGCGGAAATTAGTGTCCCGGTTCCGACCCTGCGCGGTGCCCGACGCGGCTTCGGGAGCTGTGTATTTGGCCTCCGACAGCTAGGCGAGTCGGCGGGCAGCTGGGGCCTGGAGCAACCCGGTTTTCTCGTGCAGACTCGCAGCCGGTTTGGGTTTTTTTTTTTTTTTTTTTTTTGGAACCATGCAGAGGGTAGCTACGGCCATTAATTTAAGGATGTAGATAAGCTTATCTCTAAACCAAGAAAGTAAGAATGGTGTGAATTATATTTATCCCCAGCCTTCCAGTGTTTATCAAAATAATTCTCGGTGTCCTTAAAAGGAGTTAAAAGCCATCATTTTACTCCTACTTACCTCCGCCACCGTAGTTAACCCCGTAATAAACCACTGCCTCATAATCCCACTGACAAATTCCAGTCGCTCCTCTGCGTTCACATGCACTCACTCACCCGTTTCTACTGTTTTTCATCCTGCCCGGACTGTCTAATTGTTCCCTCCCAGGATCGACATGCACTTGGATCATTGCAGTTCCTGGGCCTGCTGTCATCTCTCCCTTCAGTACTTCCCACATACGACTACCAACCGTTAGACGATGTGCTGCCAGAGCAGCGTTTCATTTCCTGGACATCCGGCTATCTACCCAGGAAAAGTCATCCTTTGACATTTCTCATCTGACTCGTGATCTGCCCATCTTGTTACTCCCTAGCAGTGTGGTAAGGTAAGAGAAAATTGAAGTCAGAGTCAATAGATCTTTCTGTTCTCATTCTCCCACTGTCTACTTGTGTGGCCTCAGGCAGATCATTCTACTTGTGGTCTTACTTAACTGTAAAGTGAGGTTTGAAGTCGGTGTCAGAGATACATCGTGTCCTTAAAATACGTGAATCTGGAGAGTTAAGTTGCTGAGCGCTATGTTATACACAGAAATACGGTCCTAACACAGATTCAGATTTTTAGTTTTTATTTTTTGCCACCACACTGGCAACAAATATTATTTTCCTACCCTGCTCCAGAGATCTTTTTTAAAACCTACATTTAGGGTTTTTTGTTAAAGCTAGCTACCCAAGCACATGTATTTACTGCCTCTTCTTCCTGAGACCCCATAAAATGACGATAAATAAAAATGATACAAGATAGAAAAGGAGAAGGGGGGCATCGGAAGATAATTGTTTTTCAATTCGACATGTGAAAAGTAAGTGTGGTCTGACAAAGTAAAATGAAGAAAACCATAAGGTGGAATGGGTGTAGAGGGTGCTGCAGGAAGAAAGGGGGGCCTGTCAGCCCAGAACTGCGTTAGGGAGACCGAGATTTGGAGATACCTACAAGACACAGCGAGAGTGAGAAGCAGGATTGAGAACAGGGAGACTAAATAAAGGTCTAGATGAGGAAGAACAGAACTCTCCCTCTGTCTCAGATACAATATCTAGGCATTTATCCCAGGCTAAAATTAAGTATTCTGATAATCTGGGGAGATTTGGGCTAACTGAGTATTGAATGGCCTAAGAGTAAAGCATTCTTTATCCCAGCACAATAGCTGATTTCCTACCCACCCACTGTAAAGTGAAGTTGGGCAAGTTGGCAGGAACTTCCTGCTGTGGTTTGGATGTGGTATTTTTGTCTCGACCACATCTATGTTGAAATTTGATTACCAGTGTGATAGTATTGAGACGTGGGTCCTGGTGGGAGGTGTGTGGGTCATGGGGGCAGATTGTTCATGAAGGACTTGGTGTCATTCTTACAGTAGTGAGTTCCCACACTTGCGACACTACATTGGTTATCAGGAGAATGGATTTGCTCCTTCGAGAGTGGCTTGTTGTAAAGCCAGGACTCACCTCGGGTTTGATTTCTCTTTGTATGTGCACAGACACTTTTCCTTGACCTTCTCCACCATGTTTTGATGCAGCACGAAAACCTTCACCAGAACTGAGCAGATGCTGGTGCCTTGCTTCTTGAACAGCCTGCAGAATTGTGAGCTAAATAAACCCGTTTTCTTTATAAATTACCCAGCCGCAGGCATGCCTTTATAGCAACATAAAATAGACTAAGACACCTCCCAAGTTCACAAGACTCCCCATCAGCATTCCAACTGCCTCATCTTATGTATGAACAGACAACTAAGCGTTATTAGATTTTTAAGAGAAGTCTCCAACGTGGAGTGTGGGGGAGATAAACAGAAACCTCAGAGAATGTAGAAAGGAAAACCTAATTAGTATACTAGCATACTCAGATGAAGTAACAATCCAAGGTTTAAAAGTAGATCTTGAAATTTAAAATAAATTGCCAAATTATAAATTTAATTAAAATATTGAAAGATAAAATCACTGAACTTTTAAAGAAAATAGAAGGAGCCTGGGCAACATAGTGAGACCCTGTCTCTGTAAAAACTGTTTTAAAACTTAACCGGGTCTGGTGATGTGCACATGACGTCCTGGAGGACACCCCAGCTACTCAGGAGGCCGGGGTGGGAGTATTGCCTGATCCTGGGCGGTCAAGGGAGCCGTGAGCCAGGATGGTGTTGCTGCACCCCGGCCTGGGTTACAGAGCAAGAGACCTGACTTCAAAAAAGAAAAGAAAAAGAAAATAGGGCCGGGTGCAGTGGCTCGCGCCTGTAATCCCGACACGTTAGGAGCCTGCACCTCAGTCTGGGTGACGGAGCAAGAGACCTTATTTCGAAAAAGAAAATAGGGCTCGGTGCTGTGGCTCACGTACGCAATCCCAACACTTTAGGAGGCCAAGGCAGGCAGATCATTTGAGACCAGGAGTTCAAGACTAGCCTGGGCAACATGGCAAAACCCTGTCTCTACAAAAAAATAAAAAAAAAAATACAAAAATAAGCCAAGTGTGGTGGCGTATGCCTGTAATCCCAGCTACTCAGGTGAATGAGGTGGGAGGATGGCCTAAGCCCAGGAGGCAGAGGTTGCAAGCTTGCAGTGAGCTGAAATAACACCACTGCACTCCAGCCTGGGCAACAGAGCCAGACCCTGTCTCAGTTAAAAAAAAAAAAAAAAAACAAAGAGGTGGAAATTGTGAGAGAAAATAAGATAAAGAATCAATTCAACAGGACTAATATTATGTGAGAAAGAGAAAACAAAGTAAATGAAGGACAGAAAATTATTGAAAAAAATAATGCAAGAAAATTTCCTAGAACTGAAAGAATCCACTACTACAGAACTAAAAGGAAAAAAAAATTCAACCATGCGAAATGTTTGAACTCTAAATGTAAAGAAGATTCTAAGTTTCCAAAGAGGAAAAAAAGGAGCTCATAAAAGAACAAAAATCAAACTGGCAGGCCAGGCATGGTGGCTCACGCCTGTAATCCCAGCACTTTGAGAGGCTGAGGCAGGTGGATCACGATGTCAGGAGTTTAAGACCAGCCTGGCCAACATGGTGAAACCTCGTCTCTACTAAAAATACAAAAATTAGCCTGGCATGGTAGCAGGCGCCTGTAATCCCAGCTATTCAGGAGGCCAAGGCAGGAGAATCGCTTGAACCTGGGAGGCAGAGGTTTCAGTGAGCTGAGATTGTGCCATTGCACTCTAGCCTGGACAATGAGCAAAACTCCGTCTCAGAAAATAAAAATAAATTTAAAAAAAGAGTTACTTAAACGTGTGTTCGAGCAAAATGAGGAGGAAATCAGGGTATCTGACAACATCCAGTAATCACTAGATACAACTCAGGAAAACAGTAAAGGGAAGTCCCAGGAGCTAAGTTGGATTGGAACAGAAGGAGAGGAGTTCTGAGAGAGAGAACTCCTGGAAAAGAGAAAATTAAACAGAACAATTAGTTACTATGATTAAAAAAAAAAAAAAAAAAAGAAGCTGCTGCTTTTAAGGGTTTCAACTTTTACACCCAACCTATTAATGAAGCATAGATAGTCTTGCTATTGTTAAAACAGTTTAGGCCAGGCACAGTAGCTCACATCTGTAATCCCAACACTTTTGGAGGCCGAGACAGGAAGATCACTTGAGGACAGGAGTCAGAGACCACCCCAGGCAACACAGCAAGACCCTGTCTCTACAAGAAAAATAAAAAATTAGCCGGGAATGGTGGCACACACCTGCAGTCCTTAGCTTCTTGGGAGGCTAAGGCAGGAGGATCCCTTGAGCCCAGGAGTTCAAGGCGGCAATGCACTATAATGGTACCACTCTCCAGCCTGGGCAACAGAGTGAGACCCTGTCTCGAAAGTAAAAGCAGGCTAGATGTGATAGCTCACCCTGTAATTCCAGCACTTTGGGAAGCAGAAGGATTGCTTGAGCCCAGGAATTCAAAGCCAACCTGGGCAACATAAGGAGACCCTGCCTCTATTTTAAAAACAAGGCCAGGTCTGGTGGCTCAAACCTGTAATCCCAGCACTTTGGGAGGCCGAGGCAGGTGGATCACCTGAGGTCGGGAATTCAAGACCAGCCTGACCAACATGGAGAAACCCCATCTCTACTAAAAATACAAAATTAGCCGGATGTGGTGGCACATGCCTGTAATCTCAGCTACTCGGGAGGCTGAGGCAGGAGAATCACTTGAACCTGGGAGGCAGAGGTTGCAGTGAGCCGAGATTGTGCCATTGCACTCCGTCCTGGGCGACAAGAGTGAAATTCCATCTCAAAAAAAAAAAAAAAAAGGCCGGGTATGTTAGCTCAGGCCTATAATCCAGCACTTTGGGAGGCTGAGGCGGGTGGATCACCAGGTTAGGAGTTCAAGACCAGCCTGCCCAAGATAGTGAAATACAAAAATTAGTCGGGCATGGTGGTGGGTACCTGTAATCCTAACTACTCGGAGGCTGAGGCAGGAGAATCGCTTGAACCCGGGAGCTGGAGGTTGCAGTGAGCCAAAATTGTGCCATTGCACTCTAGCCTGGGCGATACAGCAAGACTCCATCTCCAAATAAATAAATAAATAAATTTTTTTAAAAAGTGGTGCTTGAACAATTGTATATCACATGCAAAAGAATGAAGTTGAACCCATACGTCACATATGAAAATTAGTTCAAAATTAATCAAAGACCTAAATGTAAAGCTAAAGCTAAAATACTCATAGAAGCAAATATAGTTATAAATCTTCATGACTTTGGATTAGGCAATAGTTTCTTAGCTGTGAGACAAAGGACAAGTAACAAAAGAAAAAAATTGAGACCAGATGCAGTGGCTTCATGCCTGTAATCTCAGCACTTTGGTGGGGCCAAGGCAGGAGGATCACTTGAGCCCAGGATTCAAGACCAGCCTGGGCAACATAAAGAGACGCCCCATGTCTGCAAAAAATTTAAAAGATTAACTGGGCGTGTTGGCACGCACCTGTAGTCCTAGCTACTTGTGAGGTTGATACAGAAGGATTCCTCGAGCCCAGCAGATCAAGGCTGTAGTGAACCATGATTGTGCCACTGTACTTTATGCCTGGGTGACAGACCAAGATCCTGTCTCCAAAAAAATAAAATTAATTGGACTTCATCAAAATATAAAACTTTTGTGTTGGCTGGGCGCGGTGGCTCATGCCTATAATCCCAGCACTTTGGAAGGCCAAGGCAAGCGGATCATGAGGTCAGGAGTTCGAGACCATCCTGGCTAACATGGTGAAACCCCATCTCTACTAAAAATACAACAAATTAGCCGGGTGTGGCCGGGCGTGGTTTCTCACACCTGTACTCCCAGCACTTTGGGAGGCCAAGGCGGGTGGATCACGAATTCAGGAGATCGAGACCATCTTGCCTAACACAGTGAAACCCCGTCTCTGCTGAAAACTACAAAAAATTAGCCGACCGTGGCAGTGGGCGCCTGTAGTCCCAGCTACTCTGGAGGCTGATGCAGAGAATGGTGTGAACCCGGGAGGCGGAGCATGCGGTGAGCCGAGATTGGGCCACTGCACTCCAGCCTGGGTGACAGAGCGAGACTCTATCTCAAAATAAAGTAAAATAAAATAAAATAAGCTGGGCGTGGTGGTGGGCACCTGTAGTCCCAGCTACTCGGGAGGCTGAGGCGGAAGAATGGCGTGAGCCCGGGAGGCGGAGCTTGCAGTGAGCTGAGATCACGCCACTACACTCCAGCCTGGGCGACAGAGCAAGACTCCATTTCAAAATACATATATATATATATATTTCTGTGTGTGTGTGTGTGTTATTCAGCCTTAAAAAAGAAGGAAATTCTGACATGCTACTTGTCAGACATTACACCAAGTAAAATACGCCAATCATGAAAGTATAGATATGATTATATTAATATGAGGTACCTAAAGTAGTCAAATTTATAGAGACAGGACCAGGCACGGTGGCTCACACATGTAATCCTAGCACTTTGGGAGCGTGAGGCAGGTGGATCACCTGAGGTCAGGAGTTCAAGACCAGCCTGGCCAATATGGCGAAACCCCATCTCTACTAACAATACAAAAAAATTAGCTGGGCGTGGTGGCAGGCACCTGTAATCCCAGCTACTCGGGAGGCTGAGGCAGGAAAATTGCTTGAACCTGGGAGGCGGAGGTTGCAGTGAGCCGAGATTGCCCGACTTGACTCCAGCCTGGGCAAAAGGGCGAAGCTCTGTCTCATCAAAAAAAAAAAAAAAAAGAAAAGGCTGCTAAAACTGGCCCATTAGCAAGAGCTCAGGGCAATCCATAAAAAAAAAAAAAAAACATAGAGACAGAAATAATAATGGTGGCTGCCAGAGGATGGGGGAGGAGGAAGAGGGAGTGTTTAATGGGTACAGAGTTTCAGTTTGGGAAGAAGAACCATTTCTGGTGAAGATAAGGGTGATGGCTGCAGATGATTGTGAATGTACTTAATGCCACAGAACTATACACTAAAAAATAGTTAAAATAGTGTTACGTTATTTACATTTTACCACAATAAATAAATATTTTAGAACTTGTCTGCATCCATTACACTGTTAAAGACTGAATTATGTTCCTCCAAAATTCATATGTTGAAGCCCTAACTCGCAGTGTGACTATATTTGGAGATGAGGCCCTAAAGAGGTAATGAAAGTTAAATA